AATTGAACAGAAATGTTCCCATCTAGACAGTTGGCTGATTGAAAACTAAGGGTTCATTTTAAAGTGTAGATTTGTTGGTCGCTCCTTGCTCAGGGCTATGCAAGCAAACCTGCATCTGGGAAAGGCCTGCATCTGGCAAAGTCAGAACTTGAGAACCCACACATTTATCACAGGATAACTGTTATAGAATCATAGAATGGGTTGGGTTGGAAAAGACCTTAAAGACCATCTAGTTCCAAGCCCCCTGCCATGGGCAGGGACACCTTCCACTAGCCCAGGCTGCTCAAAGCCCCGTCCAACCTGGCCTGGAACACTGCCAGGGAGGGGGCAGCCACAGCTGCTCTGGGCAACCTGTGACAGTGTCTCACCACCCTCACAGTAAAGAATTTCTGCCTTATATCTAATCTAAATCTACCATCTTTCAGTTTAAAGCATTACACCTTGTCCCAATTTTCCATTAAAAAAAAAACAAGCAAACAAAACCTGCCTTTCCCAATGAAAGTCCTAAAAGCACCGTATCTTCCAGTCAACTGGTTTTATAATCAATAGCTCTACAACATAAAATGGTTAGCTTGCTAATCAAGTGCTTCATAGAAGAGCAGACTTTGTGCTAACATGTATCCAGGACGTGTACACTTGCACATACAATTTTAGTGCTCACTGCTAATGTAAGAAACAGTGTTTTCAGCCTAAATAAGCCAGTGTATTTGCTACAGAGCAGCAAGCAGTGTGGTTATGCTGCCATCAAGTGGGTAGTCATCCTACACATGGCTGAATTTTAAATATCTTCCAGGAGTGGTAAAGATAACTGTATTTCAGGGCTGTACTAAAATTTTTGGAGTTTCTTAACACCATACCTACACATGTCTGCAGTCTCCAGTTGATAAACTATGCATCTGCAGAATAATGGGACATATTTAACTGTAAACACTCTCAGGATCTCTGCCAACCTTCAGTTGCCATAATAACATGGAAAAAATCTGGTTGTACAATGTTCAGATATATGACCATGTCATATTTAAAATTCCAAATTATATCAGATGCCTGTTAGTCCTAGTGGTAGCAAAAGGGGTTTGAGTTCCTTTCAAAATGACAGTGAGAGTGGGTTTCTAAGGAGCCTAGCCCTTGCGATGACACAGAAAGATTTTTCAGTATCTACAAGCTGATAGACAAACATTAAAAAAAATGCCTATGAGCTGCTGACGAAAAGCTATTTATGGTCCAAAAGTTTAGCTCTAGTGAGCATGCTCTACCTCACAGAGTTTCTAGCTTCTTCACAGTTTTTTTCTGGCGTTCTACAGTGAAGTTTTTCAACGCTTCTGTCTTTATAGCCAATTCCCACTGAGTGAAAAAATGCAGCTCACTGAGACATGTTGGTTCTCCTCTTTGCCTGAAAAGGTTGCTTAAATTACTGTCCCCATTCCTCAGAATAGTTTCATGGAATAAATTAATTTTATGCTTTTTACATTTATTTCTCAGATAAGATAAACTAAATATCTTTTAAGTTTTTAAAGGGAAAGAACTAAATTTTTTCCTCCATTCACAAAACTATTTTCTATACAGATTAGTGAAACATGAAGCATATTTGCTAGTGCTTTTTTACCACAGTGCTCTTACTGAAAAAAAAAAAAAAAAACAAACAAAACAAAAAAACCAAACCAAACCAAAACAAACCAAAACAAAAAAAAACACACAAAAAAAAACATTTAAAAGTGGATATACGGACAATACTTCCCTCTAGGGGCAGAAACACAATTTGCAACATTCAGTTCAGCAGCGTATCATTTATAAACCACGTTAGCGAAATGAAACAAATAGGGCCTAACAAATCAAGGACAACCAGAATTATTATGTTGTTCCCTGCAGAGAACGCTGCTGTCTATGAAATATGTCTAAAGAGAATGCTGTGCTCCTATATTCATGCAGAAGGGTTTCAATACTACATGTATACAGAAGCCCATTTATCAGATTTCCTTAGTAACATATATGCCATCAACTTCTGACCTAGATAACGTATCATCAAATGCAATATGCAAAGAATACATTTTTATTTATAAGTAAACACGTGTATCATGAAAACGTATGTACTGACAAGTGCTAAAGTAGGAAGTTTGCTCAGCTGATCAAACTCAGTATATTTGGAAGTCAAATAAGATGGAAGGTCAGCATTGACTTGGCTGCTTTCCTCTGCTTCATTCAGGCAGCCAGATGCGAGGTTGCAAAAGCAATTCAGGCATCTCTGTCAATGACAGAGGGTCCAATCCTCTCCGCATGGTTTACTCCTACGTACAGTCTGGGAAGCTTGCAATTCCTCCTTGGAAACAAGGGGAATGCAGAGCTAACAGAGGGTTGTCTCCACATCCCCAGATCCTGAGACCTGAGTAAGCCTGAAGGGACCTAGAGGAGATGGGGCTCAAACCCCAGCTAAAACCCAGTACCTTCAACCAGTGTACCACTGCCAAGACAAGCAGCTCTGCCCTCAAAAAGCCCAATACTGCCTCTCTTCTCACGAGAAGCCATGCTAGGTAGCACTACTGAGCTGGTACCTTGATCAGGACATACAGAGGCAGCTGAAGGGGCTGGCTGCATATCACAGCCACCTCTGCATAGGTTAGGATGGGATCCTCAAGCCACCTCGTGGCAGAGTATCGCTTGCAGTGCTGAAACACCCATCGTGAAAACGTGCACAGCTCCATGCACGTTTCAAAAGCAGTCTTCTGACTTGTGTTTAAACAGAATAGCACAGACATTCTTTTATTTTTAAAGTTATTACTTGCAATAGTGGAAGGCAAACTATTTAAAAAGCTTTACGCTCCATTTCTTATCACATACACCATGGTTAGTGGGAATTTATTTCCACACACACGCACACCCACACACAAAATTCTACCAGAAAAAAAAAAAAAAAAAAAAAAAAAAAAAAGTTATGTTGAATGTTTTTTAGGTTACAAAAGCATTCTGTCTTTCTGTAGCCTACAAAAACATCAATTCCAAAGAGCTTTCCCCCATGAAAACCAGAGGAAAACGGACTGAGTGGGATGAGAAAGTCTGTGTCAAACCCAAATTTTTTCTCCAGCTGCATATGCTGACCAAGGCACTGTCTTTTCCTCAATATACCTATAGCCTGTGGCACCTGATGTGACAACGCTCTGCCATGGTCATAGGAGAGGCACCTCCACAGAGTAACTCAGATTCAGTGGTAAGCATACCCAAGTCTGGGCTCACCCAGGTCTTGCTCCACTACCTCAAGTGGCTCAGCTCATTGCTTCATGACTCGGTACCTCGCTGCATTTCTTTAACACTGCAAAATCCAGTGCTTGCACAGAAATAGCATGCGAGCTGCGAATCCACCATATGACATAAAGTTTTGCTCCAGGCTGACTACAAGCCTGATCTGGACTTTACTTGCACAAGTAATTTACACAGATAATTGGGAATTGCCTCTGCAGCAGTCTCTGGAGTGGTACCAGTGTAGCCCTAGCAGCAGTGAGACTGGTTTTAAGGCTGGCATTAAAAATATTTTTGTGAAAATAACTTTCTCTGATAGTCATTCTGGCTCTTATTCATATAAGCATGTATGTGCATCCTCACATTGTTTCAGTTCATTATTGCAGAGATCATTAACTTGGGGCTAGTGAGAACAGCAATACACATAATAGAAAACAAGGGGGTTTTTTCCCTTCTTTAAAACATGACCTCTATCACGTCTAACCCTTTTTAGCACTAGTGCAGTTACAGCTGTGATGGTCTAAAGCTGTAAGGACTTACGTAAAGATACCTTACTTCTAAATTGCTTTTCCTTTAATAAGAAGAGGTTTAAGGCTAGGGGCAAAATAAATAAATAAACAAAACAGGTCGAAAACACCTGAAATAAAATCTGGGAAGCTCCAGGTGACTGCATACAAAAGTGCAGTCCCCTTGAGCCCAAACAAGTCTTAACCAGTGGGCCCCAGAAGCGAGCTCAGGACTTGCCCTCTCAACATGCGGCACTGGGTGGCTGTCAGCTCTGCCCTACGGAGCCGGCACTGCAGGAGGACAGGGTGCTGGTGGGAGCTCAACTCCCCACTTCCTTCGTTGAGGGCTGCCTGCTGAAAAGCCGGGTATCTCAGCACCGAACTTCAGGCTCCTGAGCACATTGCTGCATCTCAGGCACCACTCCAGGCTTGCATGTGAAAATCTCAGAATAACACTTTGTTGCTCGGTAGGTTTTTCCTTTCATCTCTTTTTCAGCTGTTGTCCATACGACTACGCTGTTGAAAATAGATGGCAGTCTTAATTACTACAGGCTAATTACCTTTAATGATCAAATTACCGTACGTTGATGTGGGATTTGGCCTGAGAAGAATTTCAGACAATCCTCTAACATCACCGATATTATATATCTAAGTTATGCAATGATGAAGCTTGACAGTATCCTCTAATCAGATTGAGGAGCACAACCCTGAAGATCTGAGACACCAGTCTGCTTCTCTGCCAATATAATGTGCCAGCTTTGTTTTCAGGAAAGTACTTGCTAAAGCAGCTTCACAGTTCTGCTAGGTTATTTCATTTATCGCTATGATGATTTGCCTTTTAGCATTATTAGTGAAATAAAAAAATAATAATAATAAAAGCTCCAAGGGTTCAAGATGTACTGCCCCAGAACAAGATCTCAATTTCTGGCCTTGGAGACAGTTCTGCAATCAGCATCGCAGCTGCAAATACAAACAATGAGAGAACAGATCTTCATAAAAAATCTGGACTGAATCATCAAATCTGTTGAGAATATGCCTCCCATTTAATCAAAGGAAATATTTAAATACTAGCAGTATTCAGAAGCTACAAATTAATTGGTACTTGCAGGCAGAGATTATGTTTTCCATTTTTCTTGATATTCACATAAATATGTGTGAAAGATTGGTTGCCCGGCTCTACTAGGAGTTGGGGAAGTGACGCTCCCCACAAATATTTGCAGAGGTAGCTGTGAATCAGCATCAGAAGAAATCAATCCCAGTTATTACCTCATGGTATACAGCAGAGTGCCGTCATCCTCCAGGCGCAGAAGTTTGTTTGGGGTTGTCATGTTGTGAGCAATAGACTTCTTGCCATTGTGGAAAAAAGTGTCCGGGGTCCAAATCTTGCTGGCAAGCAGGTTGTTAAGAGGGAGGCGTTGCATAGGTCCTTTGAATCGTAGCCTTTCATCTTTCCAGCTTTGTCGGAAAAAAACGTCAATGGTGTATTCCTGGCACAAAGAAACAGTTGAGGTATTGCAGGATCTGAATAGAAGCGATGGTTCCAAAAATGACTTTAGCAAAGTAAATACAATGGAGTTGGCAGCCACATGCTCAAACTTACCATTTCTGTGTCTGACACAGGACCAAAACTGGTAACATAGATGTCTGTTTTCACCTGAGTTATTCTCTCTGTAATAAAATATAGGCTCTGCATTAGTAATTATTTTAAGATGCAAATACATGCTTGTGGTGCATTTCTCTATTAACAATTTATGAATTACTCAAAATTCCCCAAAAGCTTGAAATTCAGATGTTTGATGAGGAATTTCATCCCTGATCAAATGCAGTTGTGGACCTTTGGGAGCCTAGTCTCTTCTTATAATCAGTGGAAAGAAACAGGCCCTTCAAGGCTGCAATTCCTCTGACCGACAGGTTTTGATCATAGACCACAGAATCACAGAACGGTTTGGGTTGGAAGGGACATTAAAGATCATCTAGTTCCACCCCCCCTGCCCTGGGCAGGGACACCTTCCACTAGACCAGGCTGCTCAAAGCCCCGTCCAACCTGGCCTGGAACACTGCCAGGGAGGGGGCAGCCACAGCTGCTCTGGGCAGCCTGTGCCAGTGTCTCACCACCCTCACAGTAAAGAATTTCTTCCTTACATCTAATCTAAATCTACTCTCTTTCAGTTCAAAATCGTAACCTATCATTCTATCCCTACACTCCTTGACAACAAATCCTTCCCCATCTTTCCTGTCAGCCCCCATTAAGTACTGGAAGGCAGCTATAAGGTCTCCCCAGAGCCTTCTCTTCTCCAGGCTGAACAACCCCAACACTCTCAGTCTGTCCTCATCAGGGAGGTGCTCCAGCCCCCTGGTTATCTTCATGGCCTTGCTCAAGCGGGCCCCTGCCTTTCTTATGTTGGGGGACCCAGACCTGGACGCAGTACTTCAAGTGGAGTCTCACCAGAGTGGAGTAGAGGGGGAAAATGACCTCCCTTGACCTGCTGGACACGTTGCTTTTGATGCAGCCCAGGATGTGGTTGGCTTTCTGGCTGTGAGCTCACATTGCTGTCTCATATTCAATGCCTACTATAGGATGTGATGAGGTATATCTTGGAAGGACCTATTCCTCTCTGCTGGCTTGCTGATCTGCCCAGTTTCAGAGTTTTATATTATAGATGTCCAAAGTTAGGTGAAATTAATTCTACCTTCAAGATTCTAAGTCCTTCTGGCATCTTTTCAAATCCAGGACTACTTTAATTTAAGGGCAGGAATTTCAGAAGTTTGTTATATAAGATAGGAGCATCGAGCCCTATTTTCAAGCATCTCTGTGTAAAGTGAGAGGAGAAGGAGAGAAAGGGATGAAAGCAATGTGTTGGTCTCACAAGAGGAAGGGGTGGGGGTAGCCAGATTAAAAAAGGGCCAGGAAGAAACATAACAGATGGTTTACACATGGGTAGAAGATGAGAGAAATCTGGGGGATAGAGAGCTGAAGGAGGTCTCAACAAGGTTAGGATGGCAAGCAACCATTCACATGTTATGTTTTTAAAATAGCTGCTGTAGAGGTTATCAAAATGACATATCAATACAGATTTGCCTTAGCTGTCTAAAAATGGATGTTTTGGAGATCTGTTTTTAACAGAGATTTTTGTCACCGGCATAATTTTATATGTGCTGACCGGTGAGAGAACCTTGCAGCAACCTGCTAGCACCCTGTCTCGCTCACCTTAGGGAGTATCAGAAAGAAAAGAAACCCTAACTGTATTCAATTACAGAAAGAATGCATCACACATGCTCTCCTAACCCAACCTCAGATGACCTCAATGACTGAAAGAAGACAATTTTCAGTGACCTTTGTATTGTGTCCCATTTGCCAGAAGACAAATCTACTTTCTGGGCTTCATTTACCTAATGAAACACAACTCTCTCCTCATGGCCCATACCGACAGCAGGTACCCATTTGCAGGAGCATCATGTAGATAACGGTCCCACACAGCAGGGGACCAGCCACAGAGAACGCATTATCCTACCTCCCAGTCCCGGTCGCAGTCGGTTGTCGTAGCCGTCCAGCAGACCATCCAAGATCCTGGTGAATATAGTGATGTTATCATTGGTGTCTTCTTTTCCCGATGCTGTTGGCGTTTGCGAGAAGCTATTTTATGCAAATGAAAAGAAACAAGTCAAAAGATGTGCTGGCCTCAAGGGGCTTCAGTCTCAAGGGAACTTTGCCACAGAGCTTCTGAGCCTCTGCCCTCTCCTGTCAGTCCAGCTGAATGCCACAGGGAGCTGCAGTGATTTCATCACTGCTATAAACAATCATAAATAGCTCTCCCTGGAGGAGGAGGACCCAAGGAAGGTCCCATGCCATGGAGATACATCCCTGGGGTGCTGGATCAGGGGACACCTGAGCCCACTGATCCTCTTGCTGTAATGCACAGGGACATCCCAGTCTCGCACTGCCCTGCAGCCCCTCAGCCCCACCACTTTCCAAGTGCTGGCATATCTCTGTCCCCTGGAAGGAGCAAGGTCAGCTCATTGGGCCAGCAAAAGCTATTACTGTTTTTTCCCCGGGTTAGCTCTCCAGTATTTGGGAACTGCATCAGCTGGCAGGGGAGATGCACCAGCAGCACAGGTCTGCCTGGGGACACTCCTTCAAGTCTGCCTGAAGGTACTTTTTAATCCTTATATGCCAAACAGCTTCTGATCTCCACAGTTTATGTAATTTATTGTCAGGACAAAGGATGAACTCCAACCTTATTTGAGGATAATGAATTCCCATTGCATTCAAAAATCCCACCCCAGATCACTGAGGTATCTGAAAAAAAAATACTGCTGTACAGAAAACACAGTTCTTCATTCCTCCTCTCTCTTTTGCATAAATTAGTCCTCCCTTAGAGTATGCAAATAACAGTAACGTGTAGTGGGCCTCATTCCATATCTTCTGGGCCAGATTTGTTTTTATTCTGAACTCTTTTTTTATTTCATCATTTTATCCATGGCTCAGACCTAGGAAGCTGCTCAGAGCTCACAGCATAACTGTAACTTGCATTTTGAAGTCCAGCTCATTTTCATTTAAAGATGCTTACTAAAGAATCCCCTGCCTACTAATGCCTTTGCTTACCTAGAGGACAGACACTTAAGTTTATCCACAAGCATGCTTCAACTGCAGCAAGCAATGAGCTTCTCTTAAGGCAGCAAGTTTGCTCACATTCAGTGCTGATTCAAGTTTCAGTCTCTGCTGAAACTGCCAACAAATGCTCCAGCTTGTAACAGGGCACACTGCCCCACTAGGAACCCTGTTCTGCCTCATGCACCCTGCCAGCAGACAGGAATCGCTTACACTCCAACAACCTGAACTCAACATGAGCCAGTCACCCAGAGATAAAAAATGTCAAAATTCATGTTTATTTACTACCATCCCCCAGGGAAATAACTCAGTAAATAGATAGAGAACCTCTAAGCTTCCCTCTGAACATTTTGCCTTGCAGAATGCACGTTACATATGCGTTAGGCTTACCTAACGGAACAGAATTTATATAAAGAAAGACAAGGAACGTCAACCTGATTTTACCTGAACAAGGTTTACACTAATGGGACCTCACTGACACCCATGTTACAGGTCTGGAAGTTTTAGTGACATGAGACCTGGCTCAGAACAAGCTGCTGGTGGCCACCTAACCCCTCACAGACATGGGGACCCCCAGTCCTGTGTCTGTTTCCTTTACAGCTTGTGTGCTTCTGCTGGAAAATAAAAAGATTGCAAAGTCTCTCAGGAAAGAGGAGTGAGGCCAGGCAGTGGGAGCAGTGGTCTGATTCCCAAGAACTCCCAAGCACACGCAAACGCCTGGCTGAGGAGGGTCCTCGTGGCCCGAGTGCTGTCAGCACTGCTGCAACCCTCAACAACCTCAATACTGGGGAGCCCAAGGCCACTAAGAATCTCCCCTTCACTGCAGGCAGAGACATAGACACAAATCTTGCCCATCTTTCAGGCCATGACATCTCTCTGTGGTCAAAAGATCCAATTAGTCTGTTTTCTATGCTGTGACCACAACCTCTAGTGAGTAACTGAGTCAGACAACATTGCGGACATGTTTGACTATAATGAAAGACTAATTAACCCAGCAGATGCAAACTTGTTACAGAAACATTAGACATCCTTGCATGCTGTGGACCATTCAAGACAAAGGACTGTATACTTTTTTGTCAACCATAATCAAAGGGATTCACCATGTCAAGGTGAATACTTACAAGCAGCAGCCTAACAAATACAAACAGGAAACAGAAATTACAGAGGTTCTTCATATGCAGTGACCATAACTAATGCTTTGGTAAAATACTAGAATAGTATTTTAAACTCTTCTCATTTATTTTAGCTTCTTTTTTTTTCGTAAGAAAGAGATATGCATTATGCTGTCTGGCTGCTTCACTGTATTAATGTAGGAACCCATTTTCATTTTCCAATGCATCTGACAAAGAAGAACAGAGATCAAACTTCATTTCTTTTCTACAAGTTTCATGAGAAGCAGTGACTAGATGAGGGGAGAGGGATCTAAATTAGTGCCTCATTAAGTAGAAATGTGAGGTCAGCAGTCATCTATTCCCTCTGGCTCGCTGACTGGGCCAGTCAGCATGCATGTAGCTCAGAAACAGCCTCAGCAAAACCAGCCCATCTCCTCTCTGCTAATTAAGAGATATGGAGGAGACTTGCAGGGTGATTAGGAAAGATGCTAGGAGAGAAGGTCTGCAGAAGTAAAATGTAGGTGTTGCAATGGGAGATGGGAACAAGGGATGCCAAATGCAGAGCCGAGATTATTGCAAAGGTACAGTGCTGGGGGCACAGGATAAAAAGATACACTAGTTTCTCTGCTCTTGAAAAAGCTTGTTATTTTTAGGGCTAATGGCTGAATTCAAAGCCAGTTGAACTCCGAGGGAAGATTTCCACTGAACTATTTTTGTGGGGATGGGACAAAATATACTTAGTTCTCATAACTGCTCCTCTGATTCTAACCAGAGTAACTGAGGCTGCTTCCTTCTATCTCAGCTATGTACATCTTTCACAAGAATAGTATACACACCTCAAATGCTGAAATAATTTTATATCTCCACAAGAAAAGCTAATTAATAGATGAAAAAGATGGAGAAACAACTAGGGTGAAGACATAAAAAGTCTGTACTTCATCTGCAAAACTGCAATCCAATTTAGATTTGGCAGATCACTTCACCCGAAAAAGAAGGCATCTGATGCTGAATTTCGGCAAAATGTCAGTATTGTGTGAAGTTGCATTTGTACATGGATTACTGTTTGCCATTAATGTAAATGTTACTTTTTCTTTCACAGAAAAGTTAGCGTTTAATTTCTGGTTTTGAGATTGCTGGTGAAATACATGTTTTGGAGTAATGAGGTTGTCTTTTATGACATAAGACCTTTAAACTGTACTTGAAAAGTTACATGCGTACATTAGATACTAAGGCTCTATGTATACAGAGAAAACTAATTATTTCCACCCAGCTAAAGATTAGGTTTTATCAATATATTAGTAGGTAAGCACATTATTGCCTCTCTGCAACCAGAAATGTTTTTATAGCAGGCATTTTCAGTTATGGATAAAAATAAACCTAGAAAAGAACCTTATGAAAATGCTGAGAAAATTTCAAAGATAATTACATCTAAAGCTCATTACTGAATATAAACTAAACCAACCAGGAATACTTCTCATTACATTTATTTAATATTGCAATTTAAGGGTGGCTGAAAAAATCAGAATCCACAGAAGGGGCCATCAGTGTAAAATGTAATAACTCTCCAAAGATGTTCAGCTACCTCTTCCAATAAGCTGATCATTTACCATTTTAAATATCACTCTTTTTTGTGACCTAGTCAAAAGCATTACAGGTACTATTGATAGCTTAGTTGTAATAAGAGGAAAACGTATGGTAGATATTTCATGATTTTTCCAAAACTTTTTTTTTTTTAAAAAAAAAAAAAAGGTAGGAGGCACTGGGAAAAA